CTTGATGTGACTGTTCTATAAATCAAGTGGAATGAAATTAGAATGAAACAACACTGAGTGAAGTAATATTTTATGGTAAATGTGGAGAATCAAATGTGATGGGGAAACTGGAAGTTGGTTCCACAAGAGAGGAGCTTGATAACTGAAAGCTCTGCCTCCCATTCTACTTTTAGAAACTCCAGGAACCACAAGTAAACCTGCAGTCTGACAGTGAAGTGCTCTGTTAGGAAAGGATGGAACAATAAGATGTTTAATATATGATGGAGCTTGGTTGTTGTTGTCTCAAATAATGTGATTGGTTTGTTTAATACGGCTGTCGGTGATATAACTGTTATCCGCTTATTATGTTAAAATGTTGCCCAAAAAAATAATTTAAAGAAATTATTTATGTCTCGACTCTAAAACCATGAGATACAAACACTCCTCTGTTAGTGGCTCCATGCTGGAAACTAAAGGTTGTACAAATCAAGTATATTTGTACTAACTATATGAAGAAACTCACATCAGGAGTTTGACAGTGATGAAAAATCATTCAGATTAAATTGTTTTTTTTCATCATCAATTATAATATGGAGCTGATTCATTTTTTAGTTGTTTACAAATTAAAAGCTAGTGAGGAGGTAAAATGAATAAATAAATTCTTTTTTTTCATGTTAAAGTGAACATCCATTTATTTAGAATAAACATTAATTTACCTGCTTAGTTTCTTGCCTGAATTTAAACAAAATAAAGGAGGAACTTTATTTCAATCATTTGATATTATGACTCGTTCAAAGACGTCTGAATARTAAACTGAAAACAATTTAATACAAACAGAAACATCTGCATTATTGTTTTATTGATCCATGTGACAGAAAAGAAAAACTAATGTTTTGGAACAAATTAAAAATGTTTAAGATAAATAATGGAAGAACAAAATCTAAAACTCTAAAATCATTTTCTAAAGAAAGTAAAGCTGCTGTGCTTCATTAGTCTGATCACTGAATGTTTGATGATCCAGATTATTAAAGAAAACAATCAGACATCGGCTGTTTCACTAAATGATACATTTAACCACAGAGAGGATCTTTAGTTTATCTCTAATAATAAACCATAAACTGTGAATCTAAAGTACAACAGTTTCCTCTGCACACTGCTGTAAAATACTGCAGGAACTCTGCTGCTTCTTGATTTTTATAAAGATGAGTCTTGTTGTTGCTCGCCGCTCATCTCTTCTGTTCGCAGCTGAATGTAGCCGAACATCAGCAGCTGAATGTAGCTGAACATCAGCAGCTGAATGTAGCTGAACATCAGCAGCTGAATGTAGCCGAACATCAGCAGCTGAATGTAGCTGAACATCAGCAGCTGAATGTAGCTGAACATCAGCAGCTGAATGTAGCCGAACATCAGCAGCTGAATGTAGCCGAACATCAGCAGCTGAATGTAGCTGAACATCAGCAGCTGAATGTAGCTGAACATCAGCAGCTGAATGTAGCTGAACATCAGCAGCTGATTAC